AATAAAAACATAAATTAGTATGTCGATGGTCATAATATTTCTATGAGAGTAAACTTCCCTGAAAGGAATTGAATAGGGAATGAGGTGTGGTTCATTGTAGAATCCAATGTCTATAATGAGAAAGACACCAAAAGGATTCTCGATAGAAGAAATCTTGAAGAAGAGTACCGATAGAAGTATCGACATAGAGATGAACCGCGTGTAAAGTGAAGCTAAAAAGCTTTTACAGCTTTATCCTATCAGGGTGGTATGACAGTGATGAAACTGATATGTGATATTAAAAATGGATGGGGGCTTAAGGCAGCAGTATTTGCCAATCCCCACCACGCATAATTGAAATGTGGATAAATGATAATGACACGTCGGTGGTAAAGCACGACATGAAACTGATGACTCATTGTCATTATGCCCGCTTCGGAAATGAGCACTGATGGTGGTATTCAGTGGGTGTTTATCGAAATAATACGGCGATATACATAGTAACATATATGTACCTTGGGCCTGGGTCGATTTGCAAAATTCGGACCCGATATACTGGCATAGGAAGTGCATATGCATATAGGTCTAGATACTTTAAACCACCAGTGGCAAATCGGCCATAGTGTGAGTTGTCCAATCTATTCTCACTGTCGAAGCTTTGCTTCAAAATTTTATAGTGGCATAATGCAACACGAAATAAGCAATAGAAAATAACTACAATGCATTCTAAAAGAATATTAATATGGAAGGAATATAAGGATGGAATGCTGTCATAGTCTTGCGCAAGACGGTGGACATATGATGCCGTGAAGGCTTACGCGTATTCAGTATTTATTACTTTTCAGGTCTGAAAAAGGTTTACGTACAGTACCAATTATTTAAATTCTATAGTATTGGAAAAGTGGGACTGAATAAGCCTCTACTATCTTGTTCCCTCGGCTGCAAATTGTCAGCTGTACGTGCTTCTTGTTCCTTGCAACGGAAAATAATCTGTCTTTTACAAGCGGAAAAAAAAACCCTTGAAAAATTTGTAGTTATTACTATGTATGAAAGCTTATTAAAAATGAAAAAATAGAAGAAATCTTTATTATTGTGATAGCAAACTCGTATACCGTAGCCGTATCAAGCAGACTACATGTTACTATGACAACAACCTCGAATACTGTTGAAGAAAGTAATAGGTATCAGATATTTAGGAAATAGAAAACGAACATTACTTTGAAACTTGAACTTAATGATTCTTCTCTATACTTTACCCGTCCTGAAATAATGGTGTAATCACTTTATAAATGTTCGTCTCACTCGGCTTTTTCTTGTGGATTGGCTGAATAGCATTTCATGTAGCACTTCTCAAATTGTCTTCTATTTGTGGTTCTGATAGTTACTTGGCTTCTGAGGTAATTTGCCTTCAGACTTCTTGGAGCATTTTTTGGTAGTTAAATCTATGCTCCTCTTCTTGTGTATTTGTACTTGTGGATGCAAACTTTTATTCTTTATCGGCATCGTTCCCTTTTATAGCACTTATTGACTCCATGCGTGGCTCTATAGCGAAGATCCTTCGTAGATCGTCCTGGACGCTTGGTGATTAAGTTCATGTGTACTAGCCACTGTGAACATAGTGTTTTTCGGCAGCTGCTCCTCTAAGGGAGATTTTGAGTTTGTGCTTTGATGACTGGTATAATTGTATGAGATACTACTTATTTATTTCTTGTATGTATATCATTTATTTCTTCTTCGACTTACTTGGTTGTTCCCTTTTGGGACACGGATGTCTTCTTTTTGTATCCCACTGTGTACTTTTTTGTTTCGATGGCTTTGGGCGTAGTGAGTTCCAGTGGCTTCTTGTCTGGAAAATGCTTTTCATCATGAGTTTGCGTTCCTCGAATGAATCTTGCGCAATACAGGTTGTTTAAACGTTCTCTGTTCCGCATTTTGTTGCATTCCGAAAATTAAGCTATTTCTTATAGCTGTTGTGCGTCATCTATTATATCGCATGCTTTCTTAATGGTGTTTTGTTTGAATTCAAAATCTTGAATCTCTAGTTCATAATATCCACTATTATGCTGTAGTCATCGTTCTTCGTCTGAGCTCTATCAAGTTCGTTCTAAATTGGTCTTCTCGCATTCTTTAACTTCTTTTCCACTTCCTGTTGATTTATTTCATTGGAGCTTAATTGATTCGTTTCATATATTTCTGTATCAACAAATTATCTGTTTGTACTATATGACACAAAAAATGAACGTATGGTCATTAATATGTATAGTAAAACATTGAAAGGGAATGGAAATATCTGTTAATTCAAACTTGTTTTTACGGATCATTGGAGCACTATAGGAATGTTTTGATGACTCCACTTGGTCTTCTAAATTTCTCGTTTCTCGTTTTTTATATTCTTCAATTTTTAAGCGCATAATTATTGCCCTTTTGATAGTGCGGTCAATTTGATTGCCCTTTTGATAGTGCGGCCAATTTGTAATTTAGCATGTAATTCCCTTCTTTATCGTACCTTTAATTGTAATTGAACTAATTAATTGTAATTCCCTTCTTTCACTTAAGTGCTAACATCAGTGGTCGGTCTGTTGATAAGTAGGTGAAGGATGTTGAGGTTGTGCTTTTTCATTTCTGAGGTTTTTCGCCTTTACGTGCCTTGTTATTCATTAGTTTCCCATATGTTTTAACAGTCTTGTATGCTAACGACTTATTGGAAGACTCATCAAATCTTATACATGAGCAGAACAGTTTGCCGAGAGCGCAAAGTAACACTATTAGACCTTTGACAGGGTTTATAACGTCTGCAAAAAGACAACAGCACTCGAAAAATACAAACGCAACTACGAGAAGACCTTGCTTCTATTGTGGTAATCCGGACCACATACCAACGAATGTAACAAAGTCAAAACTTATGATCGAAGATTGGAAATAATAAGAGAACGAAAACTCTGCTATAACTGTGACTCACCATCGTGCAATACCAACTCTTGCAGAAGTAGGTATGCCTTATATGCAACAAACATGGACATCGTACATCCATATGTTTGAGTCAACTCATACAATAGAACAACAACTCTAATACACAGCAAAGAGCGTATGATTCACAAAACACAAAATTACATCGAAAAACATCCTCTAATGTAA